GACATTTTTGTCGTGTGTGAAACTTGGCTACGGCCGAGCATTCCAGACCGGCTAATGACAGTAACCGGATACAGACTTTATCGTCAAGACAGACCTTCTTCTTCGCGGCAGCCCAGCGGATTCGGCGGCGTTGCTGTGCTTGTGCGTGAGAGCATCAGCTGTGAGGTGGTACCGACGCCGGACACCGGTATACCCACTTCACGGATCACATAAGGTGATCCGTGCCCACTTCAAATCTGGAAATATTGTGGGTTCTAATACGAACCAGCAAGCATTACCAATTGTTGATTGCATCCGTCTACCGTGTCCCCTCGAGCGCTGCCGCGCAGGTGATTGCCGATCTTGATGATTTTGAGCAACAACTGCAGCACATGATGGTTAACTACCCGAACACGACAGTCCTTATTGCTGGCGACTTTAATATGTGCCTTCTCAAAACCGGAGGGCGCGGCGGCGAACATCAGCTTCTGTCGCTGCTGAATACGTACGGTATTCATGTCACCAACCGGACTATTCCTACCTACCGACCCGCCTCAAGCCTGCTTGATGTTGTCGGCATCAGTAAACCGGCACAGCTGCAGCGAGTGGGCGTAACGCGCTGTCATTATGGCGGTCCCCATGATATTACCCGTGTCATGGTTGATTGTCGAATGGGGAATGTGCATACTGGCAGTAAATACGTGCTGCGACGTTCACTGGGGAGGGTCGACTCTGCCTCATTCAGTGAAACCTTACGACACACTGACTGGTCTCCTGTGTGGTTCAGTTACGGCCCTGAGCGCAAGTGGTACGAGTTTAAGCGCATCTTCCTAGCTGCACTAGATAGAATAGCACCGCTCCGGCGCTCTCGGTTGCGAACGAACCGGGGGCCGCCCACGTCGGCTGGCACTGCGCGCCTGCTGAAACAGCGCCGCGCCGCACTAGATGGAGGAGACCGCGACTTGTACCGAGAGATCAACACAGTGCCGTGCCGCTGTCCGCAAAGATTCTCGCGAGTATTACCAGCGCGAGATCGACAAAGGTAGTCGCGCTAGCCTGTGGCGCATCTTAACGCCTGTCATTGGAAGGAAGAAAACTCCGACCGAACCACCCAACATGACGCCTGATGCCCTAAACAGATATTATGTCACAGTAGGACCAACCACCGCTGCCAGCGTTCCTGCTGCACCTGAACCAGTACATACGCGGCTGCCACGTGTGACGACCGCCTCGTTTAGGGTTCGACCAGTCGATCTCGACACCTTGATTGCAACTCTGCTCTCCATGAAACCGTCTGCCACAACCACAGATGATGGAATTAGCATTGTCATGCTGCAGAAATATTTCACGGGTTTCAGCGAAGTCCTACTAGATGTTGTCAATTCATGCCTGCACACCGCCCAGTTTCCTACGTCATGGAAACACGCTCATGTTATCCCGATTCCTAAAGTGAAAGCCCCCAAGACTCCTTCTGACACCCGCCCGATCTCTATCCTGCCCGCTATATCGAAATTGGTCGAAAAACTCGTACAAAGGCAACTGGTTGAGTACCTAGAGATCCATCACTTATTGTCAGAGCAACAACACGGTTACCGTAGACACCATTCGACAGAGACAGCTCTCAGTGTCATTACAGACAGGGTATTAAGGGCCATGGATCACGGAGAAGTATCGGTTCTCACCCTCCTAGATCAGTCGAAATGCTTCGACATTGTACCTCACCAGATTCTTTTGGACAAAATGAACACATACGGGATTGATACAGAATGGTTTCAGAACTACCTAGAGGGGCACACGCAGCAGGTTGTGATACGTCGCACTGACGGCGCAGTTCTCACATCGGCGTCCAAACCAAACAGACTTGGAGTCTATCAGGGCGGTTCACTAAGCTGTTTGCTCTACACGCTTTTCTCAAACGACCTGGGCCTGCATGTGCCGGATGATGTTACCATTGTACAATACGCCGATGACGTGCAGATTTTGACGAGTGGCAAGAAGCAGGACATGGACGTGTTAAAGGCGCGCATGGAACAATCTCTTGGAACACTATACCACTGGTTTTGTCAACATAGGATGAAACTTAACGAGGCGAAAACACAAATGATAGTGATGGGAACTCCTGCAATGCTAAGAGGAATGGAGTCTTTCGTGTTGGAATTCAACGGAGCTCAGATCCAGGCGACAAGTGTTGTAAAAAATCTAGGTGTCACATTTGATTCGCATTTAAAATTCACTGAACACATTGGCTCGGTGGCAAAAAGATGCACGGGCATGTTGATGGCACTGAATCACGCGAAACACGCAATGCCTAAGAGCGTACTGCCTTGTCTAGTGCAGGCTCTCGTCATTTCTGTCGTGCGCTACTGTATGTCTGTGTATGGTACGTGTAACGGCACGCAGCTCCACCGGATTCAGAAGCTTCTAAACTTCTGTGCTCGTGTGGTCAGCGGAAGGACAAGGCGAGAACATGTCTCGGATGTATTTCAACGCTTAGGGTGGATGGATGCCAAGCAGCTTGTCATATACCACACTGCCTGTACTGTTCAGTCGACGATTACCACTGGACAACCAGAGGCTCTGCTCAGCACCATCGGGCGTCCATCAAACATGCACCATGACCATGCCACCAGAAATGCTGGTCGAATAACGTTACCACGTATCCGTACAGAAACCGGTAAACGTCGCCTGTGTTGCCGCGGTGTGACTATCATCAATGAACTGGGGCTCGATCCCGGTATCACAAATTTTAAAAGACACCTAAAAAGTGTGATCATGTCTCAACCGCCTTGAAACGCTCGTTTTACGCGTCATTGTCTGGATGTCTATATGATAGTCTGTATATGAATGCATGTGATGTGCTTGTCCCTGCTATACCTATCCCTTGTCAATTGACGTGCAATGGTGAAAAGCCACCGTGCTGTGGACTTATTGCTAATAAACGAATCTGAATCTGAATCTGAATTATAAGTCAATGGGAGAAAATTGAAATGCGCCTCTTTTGGACGAAAGACATTATAAACACTCCCAAACACTGAATTACAAGTGGTTTAGACACACTGAACATGAAAATGGTGTCCGTGACCCCTGTTTATGCCCTGAGGTCATCTTAGGTCACGAATGGCATCTAACAGTTTTTCGCAAATAACTTTTGATAGAGGCATGCTAGAGCGATGAAAACGCCTTAGATGTGTTCAGCTCAACGATACGGATCGACTGATATGCAACATGACCCTTTCCGGTCAGGTCATGACCTTGACCTGAGGTCAAATTTTCAAGTTGACCTTTCAAGGTCAAGTTATAGTTCATTCGATGCGTCTTGACGAGAGGAACATGATGCCGGTAAAAGTAAGCTCGTACAAGGCTTGGGTCAAAAATTATTGCAGAAAAACTGTTTCCGAAAAAATCGGCTATTTTTGCAGTTTTTGCCCCCTGCAGGCAAGACCGTTGACGTTAGGTCAAATCTGAGAAAATCACTCAGAAAGGACGTTAATAGGGCTATCGAATGCGCTTTTCCGCGGCGCTGTAGCTCTATTGGTTCCCGAGGTATGCGTTGGCTTCTTGGAAATTGTCGACATTCGACCTGGAAATCGGCGAAATTTTGCCTTCAATGACCTATGGTGACCTGACCTTTGACCTGACCAAAAAATTGACCGAAATGATTTCCTCATTATTTTTGACGCTCTTTCGAACGCCGCCTTCCGCGTATCGCTACGTGGCCCAGGAGCCGAGTTAGAAGGGGGTGTGTGTGTTCAAACACCCCCCCCCCCCCCACTAGCAGGGCGTGGAAATCCAGGACCCCCAGCCGGGCGCGGGTTAAACACCATCAAGAAGCTGCGAAAAAATGCATGTGAATGCTGGTCTTAGTAAGTGCCTGAATACAGCAAAATGAGAACAGGAAGACTTAATATTTTCCCGTTTCATTAAAACGAATAGTTTATATCAGTTTTTTCACAATCAGACACAACGGTAGATATGGTCCCCTCTTTTTCTGGGTTATGTCATGCAAAAAAATGCGTCCCATGGTAAGAATTGCTACGTGACCGCGACTACCTAATTTTTTTTCTAAGAATCGCAAAGGGAGCAATTCTATTAGGGCAATTCTATTCAGTCCAAAAGTCTCGCGAATCGAGCCTTTCAGCAGGTCCTCAGTAACCAGCCTTGATGTTAGTCTCTGTCGAATCTTGTTACTCGCTGGGCCCGCCCATATTCTCAGTATCATATCCTTTCATCGCCTTTTATGAGGCGTCACGGGCTGCTGGCGACTGGTTGGCAGTGGTCCAGGCAGCTTTTTTGGCTATCCGCGGAACCGTATCAACACAACACCAAATATATTTACCTCTTCGGCAGCCACAAGCTATGGCTATGATGCATTATGCTGCATTAGCGTTTTATCCATAACATTGTACCTCCTATTTTTACACCTATATGTAGTTAGATAAAGACAATCAGCAATGAAATTAAAGTAAAACTGCAAATGAAGAACAGTTGTGTCATGTTTCACGACTTGTTTGCCATGCACTGGTTTATTTGTGTCCCCATTTTCGAAACAAAAACGTTTGATCTGCTTGTGGAGGCAAATACATAGAAGCTGGATAAATCCGGATCTCTGAGCGATGTATCTCGCTGATCATTCGTAGCACAATGGGCGACGTAGCTGTCTGGAGAAGCTAACTAAGGTTAGAGTGTCTTCTTAAACATACTTAATGCGGATAAGCGTTTTAGCTAACAGGGCGTTTCAGTTAGGTCATCTCCCTCAGATCAGATCACCATCTGTCGCAGGGGGTGCGTATACTTTGTTCATCTGTGGGCCACACTGGGCCACCCATAAGGCGACAGCTTCTGTCTCTAACCCCCATCACGCCGCCATTATCTCCCCATCTCACCGCCTCTGACCGCATCCCTGCTGTTTCTGGCCGGCGCGGGGTTTCACCGTCGGCTAACCTTTTCTAAGCCTTGTCTCGCTGTCTCTGACAGGCCTCTCGCCGCCTCTGACCCGCTGCTCGCCGCCGGTCCGTTCGCAGGTGACTCCGGCCGAGACGAGGCGTCATGTCTGGTGGCGAGGCGTCCATCACGGGCCGGACGGCGCCCGAGCTGAACGCCTCGGCCGCGCCGCTGGACGACGAGCGCGAGCTGGGCGAGACGGTGGCCGCCACGGCCCTGCTGCTGGCCATCATCCTGGTCACCATCGTCGGCAACTCGCTGGTCATCATCTCGGTGTTCACCTACCGGCCGCTGCGCTCCGTGCAGAACTTCTTCGTGGTCTCGCTGGCGGTGGCCGACCTGACGGTGGCGCTGTTCGTGCTGCCGCTCAACGTGGCCTACCGGCTGCTGAACCAGTGGCTGCTGGGCAGCTACCTGTGCCAGATGTGGCTCACCTGCGACATCCTCTGCTGCACCAGCTCCATCCTCAACCTGTGCGTCATCGCGCTGGACCGCTACTGGGCCATCACCGACCCCATCAACTACGCCCAGAAGCGCACCATCCGGCGCGTGAACACGATGATCGCGGCTGTGTGGGCGCTGAGCCTGGTCATCAGCGTGCCGCCGCTGCTCGGCTGGAACGACTGGCCGGCCCAGTTCACCGAGGACACGCCCTGCACGCTCACCCAGGAGCGGCTGTTCGTCGTCTACTCCTCCAGCGGCAGCTTCTTCATCCCGCTCATTATCATGTCGGTCGTCTACGCCAAGATCTTCTTCGCCACCAAGCGGCGACTGCGCGAGCGCACGCGCAAGCTGGGCACGCTGGCGGTGCCGGCGCCGCCGCAGCGGACCAGCTCCCGGCCGCTGGCCGAGCTCGAGTCGGTCGCCAGTCAGGAGGACGAGACCGAGCCATCTCCGGAGCCCGAGCCGCTGTCCAGCCGCGCAGACAAGCCCGCCAACGGCATCAGCGTCCACCAGTTCATCGAGGAGAAGCAGCGCATCTCGCTCTCCAAGGAGCGCAAGGCGGCGCGCGTGCTGGGCGTCATCATGGGCGTGTTTGTCGTCTGCTGGCTGCCCTTCTTCCTGATGTACGCGATCGTGCCGTTCTGCACCAACTGCGCGCCGCCCAGTCAGCGCGTGGTCGACTTCGTCACCTGGCTCGGCTACGTCAACTCCAGCCTCAATCCGATCATCTATACTATTTACAACAAGGACTTTCGCACCGCCTTCAGCAGACTGCTGCGCTGTGATCGGCGAATGAGCTGAAGAGGTTTGATGGTAACCCAAACACATGTCAGTTGACTGCTGTCAGTACTGGGCAGACGTCAACCGATAAAACTGATCGACAGACATGGGCGATGCTATGAGATACAATATTATAGTGCAATGACACTGATAGCTAGAGTTAGATGAGTTTATTCATCAGTTAGGTGAAATGACCAGGAAAGGCATGCTGGGTCCCGTGACCGACGCCAAAAGTAAGACACACGCTAATTTAGCTACCAATGAAATGCCAATACGTGAAAATAAACATTGAAAGTGTTGTTATGTACTGTGCTGTTGGTGTCAAAGAGACGTCGATCCCGAGAAAGACGGACATGTGTCTCCGAGGTGTGTACTTGTGCGTGTCATTAACTCCTGCATTGCTCGGAAAGGTGAATGTACAGGGAACCGACCACATAGCTGTCCGTATAGGGCCGGCGTGTTCGGGCGAGTGTAATGAGAAGCGTACCTGAGATCACTCACGGTCAGTTATGTACAGGTCTCGCGGGTTTTAGCGGTAGGTTTTGCACCTAGAAAATTTAGTGTACTTCAGGCTATATCTTCGTCGTCTTAAGCTTTTAAGTGTTGAACATGCGATCGACTTGTTGGGTAACAAGCCGGCCATGATCGTGTAAAATGGCTTCATCGTAGATCGATTAGTTTCTGAGATATAACCGGAAATGTAAAAGTGCAAAACCTACCGTTTTATCTCGCAAGACCTGTACGCTGGTGTGCACGTCGAGCACAGCACAACTGCGTCGCACATTAACCGCTGCGTACTCGGCAGCTTGCTGGTACAGTGGCATGCTGTCGTGTGTTAACAGACACACACCGGAGCTAGAAACATTCGTTTATGACTGTCAACGTGACTGTGACGCATTGTGCTCTCTGTGATATGTGATTGATCTTGGAGTGCATGTATTTAGTTTGTGCGTATCTTTTATGTTTTTATTCAAAATGCTCATTGACCACTTTGTCACCCGTGTTTTCCTGCTCTGCCCTTCCTTTTTCCCCGTCTTAGCAGGCGCCGACACATTAATTTTTGTAAATCAATAATAGCTGTTTTCTAATGCAAAAATATTTGCGTACCTTCAGCGCCGAAAAACGTTCACGGATCATATCAGTTAAGGCGGCCGCACACTAGGCCATTCGGCGGGCGACATTCCGCAAAAACGCAATTCCGTGGCGACATTACGCTTTCGTGGACGCCGAATCAGCTGCCGAAACGATAAAATTATCAGCCGACCGCTGCCAGCTAGCTGTCCGCGGGTAGAGTGCGCATGCGCGCGAACAGCCGCGGAGTTGCGGAAAAAGCTGGACCGGTTCAGCTTTTTCCGCGGCGACGCCGCGGACACCCGAAATTGTGGAACTTGAAACTCACCAACTATTGATGGAGCAGCCGAGAAATAGACTTCACTTGATAAAAAATCGTAGCGGCACTTCTTTCCCCATATTAAATGGTTTTTATACACTTCATTGGTTATTCCAATAATGGGTTACTATGTGCCTCTCCACAATTGTCTTTAGGTTTCTTGCATTTGTCGACAAACACGGTTGTTTACATTAATCACGAGCTTTATTTTTTTGCAACTTCCTCCAGAAATTATGTCAAATTAATAGATATTCAAAACTTTATTGTACAGAAATATAGCATAATCGCATTAAATAAGCAAATATTGTATTTGCTTAAATGTATTTAGTTTGCATTCGTTTATATTTATCATAAAATGTTTCACATAAAGTTCCTGAAAATACTAAGTAGAAAATCGCACCTATGATCGCACCGCCGAATGGTCCTGTAAACTGCTGAAAACAAGCGGAAAGCCGCTGTAGGAATGTCGCCCGCGACATTCCGCTTTTGCGGAATCTCGCCCGCCGAATGGCCCAGTGTGCGGCCGCCTTTACAGTCGATGTCGAGCTGCTTGTTTGCTTTAAGTGTTGGTATAGTGCACTCGTGATGTGTTTCAAAGTGTTAAGATGTGGTAGATATTTAAATTATAAAATTAAGGCAAGAGAATAACAATATTTTCATGTTTAAATGTATGTCTTTTATGTCCATCTGTCTCAATCGTTGGAGCAATTGTGATAGTTATACCATGTTTTAAGTGTTGCTTGTCGCTAGTGCATGTGTTTACAATTATTTCATCCTCATTTTGAAATTAGGGGACTAAATCCTGAGCCCTACTGATCCTAAATATGCCATGATATTTGATATGAGTTGGCTTTTTAGGATCAAAATAGCTTTGTGGACGGCAGACGCCTCATTACACCTTGTTGATGCTCATGAAGGCCTCCCAGTCCACAAGGTGAAGACTTAGTCCCCTACTTTCCAAATGTTATCGTATGAGCATAGGCAGGTGTATAAAGGCTCACGTGTTATGCTTTACATTAAAACGCTAGACTTCATGATTTGAATTCCGAGCTCTCGGCAATGGTTTAACTGTAAACTGCTGTAACATGCATAGACAGTAGGCACTGTCTATTCCTATTGCATTCCATCATCGTGCATGTTACGTATTTTCGTGGTCTGGATGCTTTCGATGAAACCAGTTGCTGATGACAGGAAATACATACATTTCGTTACCTTAGGTTGGGCTTTCTCTCTGCTGGCATACCACTCACTTTTCAATGATTACGGAGCGAGCGAAGCAAGCGTAGTCTTCCGTAGATTAACCCTCGCTGGCGCTGGCCGAGGGGGGCCGGGGGGGGGGAGCGGGTGCCCCCCATAGGGTTTTTTCGCGATAGCTCCAAGCACGCTGGCGATAGAGAGCTGAAACCTGGCATACCTGACCTTTTGATTCAAGCCGGATATTTTGACACCAACCCCATTTTCGGGTCAGGTCAGGTCACTGACCTATGACGTCATAAGTGAACCTCTGCACGGTCTTCAGATGTCGTAACTTCGCAACGTCCTCACTGCCAGAGGAGCTTTCACAGGGAAATGAAACTTGCAGGATCTAGTATCCATTACGAGTCTCACAATTTGTATATCTCGGATTTTTCCTAAAGGTCATATGAGGTAAGGTCATTTTCGTGACCTCACCATTATAAGTCAATGGGGAAACATAAAAACTGCTATTCTGGCGCCGGGAACGATCTCCAAACTATCTCAAGCACACAGAATCGTAATTTAATGCACTCCTTGCAAGGTTAGATGCGTCACTTTTGCAATGTTGACCTTGCGTGACGTCATTTATGACGTCATCAAGGTCATATTAGTTTTTCGTCAATAACTCCCGATCAAATTGAGCTAGCGAGTCGGGAAAGCCACCACTGGACTCAGGAAGACCTGCCGAATCGAATGATATGCGACATGACCTCTTTCGATTAACTTCGTGACCTGGGGGCGCTGACCTGACCGTGACCTGAGGTCAACACCCTAAGTTGGCCTGACCCAAACAAAAGGTATATCATTCGACTCGCCTGAGTGAGGCGAATACGACGCTGCCAAAATCGCGGCTCTGCGGCCGCTTTTTGCGAAGTTATTCACAAAAAAACTGAACCGTACCTTGGGGCACTTGACCTGGCCTCAGAGGTCACCGGTTAACCTAGGACCTTAAAATCGGGTACCAATCTCTGCGTCTCGTAACGGCGCATACGCTTGTTTTTTCCGCGATGCGCTAGCTTCACCAGGGGCGAAACGGCGAGGGGGGTCGCACCCCCCCCCCGTCGGCCGGCGCGTATGTGGAAAACCAATAGGTCCGGCGAGGGTTAACGGAAATTTCTGAGTATGAGCGGCCGGCCGGCCGTGCGGACGATTATGCGAGGCTTATATCTCAGCAACCACTTGACCGTTTTACATGCGGTAATTTTTGTAGGGTAGCTATATTCCTTCTACCAAGTATTGGACTATTCCCGATACATGTGGGTGTGGGTATTATGCGCGTGCCACGTGCAAAACGAAGAGGTGTCAGTTTTGTAGCAATTGCAATATCTCGGTAACTAACACGTGACACGTGAATCCTTATCCAACCAATCCAGTTGGCCAGTGTCATACACTGTTCAATGTGTGATCCCAAATGATATTCAATTTAAACGGAACGGAACGGAACGGAACTACTGGGCCGATTGCACTGAAAAATGGCATGTAGGTAGGCACCCACTAGGCAACGCATATCCATGTGCCACAGTTGGGGTGATGCTGCACGTGCGCACATGCAGGGGTCGATTCCAGATCTCGAGAGCGGCTACGCCAATTGCGATCAGTTTGGCACATCGCTAGGGACCGGTTAGTAGGGTGCAGTGCACAAATTAGTTGGAGGTACCGTCTCGCAATGTCGCACGTGCAAGGCCCACCCTCTCGCTCGCTCCGTTGGTCGTCCCAACAGGCGCTTTAGGTACTGTTTTTAGTAAACTCGACAAAACATAAAATCAAATTGTGGCATTTTGGTTTCTTTATGTAAATTAAAAGTGTATTTAGGGCCTTGAATCAATGACGAATTACATACTTTTTCCAGCTGTATAGTTTGTTCACATTACCAGCAAATCAAATGCACTTTTCCGCGGCGCAACTGCTCTTTTCGTTCCCATGCGATGCGCCGATTTGAAGAAAAAATGACTGAACTGGCGAAATTTGACATGTGATGACATTTGGACAATGGGCATTTGAATTGACCTAAGCAACGGCAAGCGAATTTTTCACAGCCTTTTGACATTCTGTCTAGCGCTGCCTGCCGTGTATCGCTACGTGACCCAGGAGCCTTAGTTAACCCGGCAGGTGGTGGGCCTACCGGCCACCTTCCGCGGGGGGGGGGGGGGGCATTTTTTGCCCCCCCCCCGTATCTCCGAAACTACTGAACGGATCTGGAAAATTCAAACGGTGTTCGATAGTCCTGTCAAATTTGTCGAAGGAAACCAAAGTTCATTGAACTCGGGGTCACCGATGACGTCACAGGTCAGGTCAAAGATAAAATGTTTCACCGTTCACGGGGCTTCTAGGGAAAGCGCTATAACACCGAGTAAAACGCATTTCGTCGAAAATCAGCGATAGGGCGTCAGTGGTGTAGTACATATGTTGCTATTAGAGGTCACTGGTCATACCAGGACAGGTCACAGGTCAGGTCACCAAAGGTCACCAAGGGTCACCACATGAACCCAACTTTACTAAGGTTGTGCGATGCATGTTTTATGGCCAGTTTTTTATTTCCAACTCAATGGTGTTGGTTATAAGACCATCAGGTACGGTTTAGGTCCCTTTCTGGTGGAGGTCAGGTCAAGGCCAGGTCAAAAAGGTCAAATCTCAAAGTTGATATGTTTGCATAAAATGGGTATTGATTCGATGCAGCTCGTCACGGGGAGTCTGGTGGCCTTTGTTTTGCGCTACGAGGTCTAGAATTGCAAAAAATTGAGTTTGAAAATTTGACGTCATCACTTTTGAACAGTTTTTTCGCTATAACTTGGCAAAAAAAGAGGTGTCGATCTCAAATTTGGTGTGTAGGGGAAGCCGGGGGAAGCCCGGCATAGTAAGCTCTTTTTCATTTTGTGACATACCTTGCGTGATGCATAAAATGTTGATATCCTGTTAGCTAGATTAGTTAATTGCCCGTG